ATGTTCCACACCAGGACCTAAGAAGTTATTAACTTGCACATGTTATAGGGCCCTCTAACATTCCATAGAAATACATGTGGGGATCTGCAGAGTAACTTTGAGAGACAAGACTCTAGGCTCCTTACTCTCACTAAGCCCTTCAGAGTAAGGAATGGGTAACCTGGAGACAGTGAAGACCCATCACACAGATCATACTTGGAAATTCATGCCAGTGCTGGGGTGAAGACAGAAGTTTCTAGAGTTCCTTGGCCAGTCAGCTTAGCTTAATTGTGAGTCCAGGTTCTCAAGTAAGAAAGAGACTGTCTCAAAAACCAAGGTGGAAAGTGCCTGAAAAGTGACACCAGGGGTTGACCTCTGGCCTCCATAAGCAACATACAAAAATGAAAATGAAATAAGGGAGATGATGACCCAGAAGAACTCAGCATCGTTCCTCCCTCACAAAAACCCAAAACAGTAAGGACTGAACCAGGCACTCTAGAGACTGTGAGAGTCTACAGACCAGTAGAGCTGACCTGGTGTCCAGGCTGGGGCTGACCCAGTCCCCCAGGCTCTCACCTCCACAATCCTTCTCATCAGACCAGTCCCCACAGTCATTCTCTCTGTCACATTTCCACCTGTTGGGGATGCAGTGGCCATTCTCGCAGCGGAACTGAAAGTAGCGGGAACAGTTTGGGGCTTCTGTGGGGTTTTCTGCAGAGAACAAACATACTATCAGTCATTTCCCTGCACCAGTGTGAATACAGCACTTCCCCTCTGCTTATCTCCCCCACAGCCAATTCCAGAAGCACCTGCACTACTCTCCCAGAGAGGATAAGGTATCATCATGGATCCAAGGAGGGACAAATAACATCTGCAAACAATAGCACCCATCTTCTTAGGGCTCAACTCCTAGTTTTCTGACCTACTCTGGTACCCTGAGAATGGCGACTCTGAGTTTTAGTCATGACACTTTACCAAAGACATAACTTAAGTGTGATGACAACCCAAGGATGACGGTGTCGTCTGTAACTTTCAGAAGGAGGTACACTCCACAAAATTGGCCATCGTGATGGTTAATCTTCACTGTAAACATACAGTGGGATTTATTTAGTCATCATGGAAACATACCTCTGGGTGTGCCTATTAGGGTGCTTCAAAAAATATTTAATGGAAAAGGAAAAACCTACCCTGGGTTAGGCTACCACATCCCAGGGGCTGCAGCCATGGATGTAATACAAAGGAGAAAGTGAAGTGAGTGTCAGCATTCATTTCTCTCAGCTTCCTGACTGGGTACACGATGTGACTGGCTGTCTCAGGTTGCTGTTGTCATGGCTCCCTTGTTGTGGTAGACTATATGTACCCTTACACTATATAATAAAATAAATTTTCCTTCCTGAAGGTGTTGTGTATGTTACCACAAGAAAAAGTAACTAAGATACCATGCTTCCTTACCCACCATATTCCTTATATGCAATGTGGTCCTCCTAATGGGGGAAGAAAGTGGAATAAATGTTCCCCTAGCACCTCCTGGATGTCAGTCTCCCTCTTCACTGCATCCGTCCTGTGGGGATTTGAGAACTGGCAGCATGTGCCACTGAGGAAGAGGAAGGCAAAGGCTCCAGAGGTGATGTCTGCAAGCATCCTGCCCTACAGGTCTCCCTGTAACTGGAAGGCTGGCCCACGGAGGTGAGGCTCCTAGCTTCTTACCACAGTTGGCTTCGTCAGAGTAGTCTCCACAATCGTCCATCCCATCACATTTCCAAATCAGGCTGATGCATACTCCGTTCTGACACTGGAAACCGAACTCATCGCACTCCTTGTGGAACTCCGGATCTTGAGCTAGAGGGTGATAAACATCCGTCAGGTCCAGGTCACTTCCATGCTAGAGAGTTCTGAGCAGCGGGGCTGCTTGGAAGCAAAGGTCATCTGCTGAGAAACAGCAGAGCTAAGGGAGCCTTAAGAAACTGAGGCCAGACTCAATCCCAGCAGAGTACACTGTGCTAACTAACCCCCCATTCCACATTTTAACTAATGCATTCCTCGTGTGGAACATAAACAGGGCTGCACCCCTAAGCCCCAGTACTCGGCCTGCTTTGGAGATAATGAGGAAGTATAAATTAAAACAGGCTCATCAAGGTGGTCCTAATCTA